GTCCAATTAATTTCTTTCTAATTTTAGTAGAGATGGGGTCTCGCTCTTGCTCAGGCTGGTTTCCAACTCCTGAGCTCAAACAATCTGCCCGCCTCGGCCTCCCAGAGAGCTAGGATTACAGGCGTGAGCCACCGTGCCTGGCCCAGAATAATCCTTCTTAAATGTAAGTCACTTCATGGCACTCCTCTGCTCTGTTTCCCATTTCCCTCAGAGTAAAAGTCCCTACAATGGCCCCCACAGTCCCACAGGATTGGGTCCCCATTATCTCTCTGACCTTATCTCCCAGCATTCTTCCCCCTGCTCACTCTGCTCCAGTCACAATAGCCTCTTTGCTATTTCTCAAACACATCAGGCATGCTTCTGGCTTAGGACTTTAGCACTAGCTGTTCCCCCTACCTATAACACTCTTCCCATAGATATTCACACTAATCCCCTTACTTCCTTCAAGTCTTTGCCCACGTGTTACCTTTTCAATGAGGCCACCCTGATCATCCTGTTTAAAATGACAACCCATCTGCAATCCCTACCCTCTACTCCCAATCCCTCTTAACCTGTTCTACTTCTAATTTTTCAATAATGTTTATCATATTTTAATATATTACTTATTTAATATGTTTATTATCTTTTTACTCCTACTAATATGTAAGCTCCATGAGAGTGGCATTATTGTCTATTTTGTTCACTGATACATCCCATGCACCTAACTATTCAATAGTTATTTCTTAATGGACGAATGAGTTTCTTATTTCTCCTTCTGCTCTCTTGTCTACTGCTAAACATTCAGGATCTAGAATTGTATTTGTTTCATTGAAAGTATTTATATTAGTTTCCTGTGTCTGCCATAACATATGACCATAAACTTTGTGGCTTAAAACAATGGAAATGTATTGTTCTTGGAGGCAAGAAGTCTGAAATCAAGGTGTTGGTAGGGCCTTACTGCCTCTTGAGGCTCTTAGAAGATTCTTTGCCTCTTCTACCTTCTGGCAACTGACTGGCATTCCTCAGCTTCCCTTGGCTTGTGGCTACAACACTCTAATTTTTATCTCCATCTTCACACTGCCTTCTCCTATTCTCTGTCTTCTCTTTCATCTCTTATAAAGACCCTTGTTGTTGGATTTGGGGCCTACCTGGGTAATCCAGAATGATCTCATCTCAAGATCCTTAACTTAATCATATCTGCAAAGACCTTCTTTCCAAATTAGGTCACATTCACAGGCTCTGGGGAGTTAGGACATGGACATACCATTTTGGGGACCACCATTCAACAGACTACAATAAATAGTTATTAAATGTATGAATTCTCTCTCAAAGCCAATCTTCATCTTTGGTTTTCTACCCTCTCCTCTTTCATGTGTTTCCATCCCAGTTCACATAGACACTCCTAACCTGGCATCCCTTTTGTGTTGTCTTAACCTCCGTGCCTCAGGGGACAGGTTTTGTGTCTTGCAAAGCAAAAAAAACCAAAAGGGTGAAGAGAGCTATACTCAAGACAAAGTGCAGTGAGAAAAAAAGAAAAGAATTCAAGTCAGAAAGTGAAGAAATCTGAGTGGGGAAAACAAACTGTAGTCAAGGGGTAAAAAAGAATGGAGGAGTCCCCACAGCAGATGAAGAATCAGGCAATATTCTAGAGCTAGAGAATTCTTAACCCTGGGGGCAAATCTTCTTTCACAAACAGAAAATGGGGTCAAAGACAAGAAGTAGAAATAGGGAATGAATTCAGGAAAATTTTGAGAAAATTTGGGTTTGAAAATGGGAAAGCAGACCTTTGGATAATCTGACGCTTGAATATGTCAGCTTTGTGCTGAACCTCCAGATGTGTCATCTCTTCATTCAGCTCTTTCCTGATATTCTGGAAATTAGTAACTGCCCCAAAGGGCCATTAGGAGTTTGGAGATGGTAGTAACTAGACCTGGGGAGAAGACTTGGGTGGGGAGAAACCAAGTGAAATATCCATGCCAGGACCCAGGCCTTCCTGCTGCACTAGGTTCTCTCTACACATAATCCACCAATGCCAGCTTTCAGACTCATTTATTCCCACCCACTCTTCCCCCCAAGTTTCACCTCCTCTATGCTTACCCATCATGGCTACTATAATATTTCGAAAGATAATGGAGCCAAGCAACAACCAAAGGATGACATAGATGCTGCTGAAGATGCGGCTGACTTCAGGCACTTTCCAGACATCCTGAAGCAGTGCATACCAATGGTCCAAGGTGAAGAGAATGAATACTGTCACTAGGGAATTCAGCAGGTCCCTAAAGTAAAAGGTAAGTGAATAGATAGAGACAGAGATCTAAACATCTCAGAAATTGTAACATTCTTACTTTTAAAGCAACAAAAGAGTATTTCTTTGTAGTTTGCTCTGATTTTGGCTCCTTTTCTACCATACTCAATTTTTAGCTAATCATTCTTCAGGTTATTGTTCATTTATTTGTTTTTTGAGACTGCGCCCTTGCTCTGTCTCCCAGGTTGGGGTGCAGTGACTTAATCATAGCTCACTGCAACTTCCAACTCCGGGGCTCAAGTGATCCTCCTGCCTCAGCCTCCCAAGTTGCTGGGACCACAGGCACCTGCCACCATGTCCAGCTAATTTTTCTTATTTTTTGTGGAGACAGAGTCTTGCTATGTTGTCCAGGATGGTCTCAAAATCCTGGCCTCAAGAAATCCTCCCACCTCAGCCTCCTGAAGTGCTGGAATTACAGGCATGAGCCACTGTGTCTGGCCCATTCTTTAGTTTCAAATTGTTGTATTAAGTTTTCCTTTGTTTTGAATAATCTATGAATACCTCTGACTATTCCATTACTCCTGGGGCATAGTGAGTACTCAATAAATAGGTATTGACTCAATTTTTAAAAGATGAATGAATCACCAATGAGATATAATTTTTTCTAAGGTGATTCTCCACTGCTCTATGGACTCAACTTAATAGAAGATCACTCACAAATTTAGCAAACATTATTCCTATTTTTTTCACTGGTATGAACTGATAGGCAAGTAGGATGGATATGTGACATAAACATGTGTGATTCCAAATAATGAATGATGATGAATATATACAGGTAATATTTTAAATTATAAAATTCGTAATAAAATAATTAAAAATTAACAAAAATTTAGATACCTTCCTGAGACCTTTGGAAGGTATCTAAATTTTCATTCTTTCCCTTTTAGTTCCCCACATACAATTTATTGAAAACATCAGGCTTGTATAGGATGAATTCTAGGACTTCCTAACTCGATATATTTATACAACTACCTCTTAGAGTCTAAGAGAGACCTGAGAGTTGCTAACAAGATTGGATTCCAATTCATAAATAGGATTACCTAAATTCAAATTGATTTTCTCCTAGCAATAAGTGTTTTCTAAACAGAGATCTTATCAAGATTTTACTTTTAAATGAGTATAGGTATTATACATGCATGGGTAATATCCATACCTAGAGAGTGGGGTAAAACCAGTGACCATGTTTGACAGTCATAGTAACATTTATAGTAACATTTGTAATGTGTTCATACTATACTAAGTGCTGAAATGCATAACCTCATTTATTTCCAAACTTTTATGAGGCAGTACTGCTATTATTCCCATTTCTCAAAAGAGGTAACTGAGTCATAGAAACCAGGGTTTAACCACTGGAATAGACTGCTATTTAAAGAAGGTTGAGGGCGGGTGCAGTGGCTCACGTCTGTAATCCTAGCACTTTGGGAGGCCGAAGCGGGAGGACTGCTTGAGGCCAGGAGTTTGAGATCAGCTTGAGCAAGAGCGAGACCCTGTCTCTACAAAAAATAGAAAAATTAGCTGGGCATGGTGGCATACACCTGTAGTCCCAGCTACTGGGGAGGCTGAGGCAGGAGGCTCACTTGAGCCCAGGAGTTTGAGGTTGTAGTGAGCTATGATGACAACACTGCACTCTAGCCCAGGAGACAGAGCAAGACTCTGTCTCAAAAAAAAAAAAAAAAAAAAGATGTTTGATAAGAGCACATTTGAATTTGCAAAACCCAGAATAAACCTGGAATTAGATGCCCTGCCCTCAAGATCAGAGCTAACACCACTCACTATTCCTTTGCTTTCTCTTTCCCCCTCCTTATTAGGTTCTATTCTGGTTTCTTGGAAAGGACTATACTATTTGTATTACTATACTTTGGACAAGCTTCCCAGTCTCTTACCCAAATTCTCTCCCCTCACCCAGACTTTCCCCAGCCCTGCCTACGAGAAGAACACGTGGTACTCCAGGTCCTGGAGAGTTGAACGGGTGTACTCCTCGAAGAAGTAGACACCAGCCACAGCAAAAATGTAGAAGAAGATGAGCAGCAACATCAGGAGGAAGGTCATGCCCTAGAGGCCATGACTTCAAGTCAGAGATAGGCCTGACTAGGTTGATCTCCAATGACAGCCCAGTCAGGCCCACCTGGCAATCCCCCACCAAACCCTTCCTTCCACTCCTGAGCCCAGTCATCTGTGAACCACAGCAGCTGTCCCTAGCCCCTTCTTATCAATCACATTTCACAGGACTTTTCATTGCCTTCTTTGACCCTCCCAGACTTGTTTCATATTAAATGTTAAACCCCTGTATTTATCCACTTTGCACCCCTTGCTTTAGCTTGCAACAATCAAATCACCTTGAGGGCCCTGACCAGGGCCAAAATAATCACTCGAATTTGACGGAATCGTGAAAAGAGTCTGAGAGACCTCAGCACCCGGCAGATCCTCAGAAACTGGAGCCACACAGACTGGCTTGTCACCCCTGCCAACACCGCAACCTCAGGAAGCAGGGACTGTGGAAAACACATAGATTATGAGTAAAATATACCCAGAAGCACCCAAGCACAGTTGCCCCTTCTTCATCTCTTCCTCATAGTTCCCTGGGCATTACCCCTTGAACAGCTTCTCTGGGATTGTTTCCTATTCAGCCTTTCTATACTAAATTACTTGAACTCTGTACTTCAACTTGTTCAGATATAAAAAGGGGATAAAATTAGTGCTTATCTCATTGAGTTGTTCCTGAGTACAAATGGGATAGTATGTGTAAAACACTTAAAATAGTGCCTGGCACTTTAGTAAGTGCTCAGTAACTGGCAGAGATTATTGTTGGGGTTGATGTTGTGGTTAGACCACCTTGCTCCTAATACCAACAATTCCTGCAATGGCTGACTTTTAGTTTTAGAGAAAAAAATCAAAAGAATGAAGTTAGATAAATTTTTATTTGTTTCTTCCTGTTACCTAATCATGTTAACTTTTCTTGTTCTTTTGATTCACCTAGGCACATTCCTCATCCCACTAAACTAATCCTCAGGCTATCTATCCTTACCAACATGGTGACAATAAAGTCAAAGACATTCCAGGCACTTTTCCAGAAAAGGGAAAAACTGGATAGCCACATAAGAAGGATCTCCACAATGAAAATAAGCAAGATAAACCAAGCTGCCACCTCCAAAGTCAGCTTCAATGGCCACAGTTCGGTATTTGTGGATTCCAGTAATTCTGTGAGGGTAGAACAAATGAGGAATAAGAGTTAAGGAAATAGGAAGCTGAATGATGAACGATCACTTATAAATCATAGTTGTGCCCACTTCTGTTCCATTTCTCTTTGAGTTTCTCTCTTTTTTTCTGCCCTCCCCCCCATGTAACAAGGACACAGAGAGTTTCTCTTCTTAACACTGTTGCTTCAACCTGTGAATTACAAAGCAGGACAGAATTGACCATGAAAAACAGTCACAACTCATCTATTGATATCCATATTTCTACCAGCTGCAAGTCACTTCCTACCTACTCTGAGGGTCACACAGCCACAAAGAGATTGCTCTTTTTAACTAACTCCCTACCCAACTCCTGCCTGCTGTACCATTATCTCAGTCCTAAAGTTCAATATAAGCAATGAGTCTTGAGAATAGAATGAAAATATAGGGCCATGATATCTAAAGTACTTTATGAGACATGTAGAAACAAGAAGCCAGATTCATGGGATATACTGATTTATAATAGGAAGTTACTTGGGGGCCGAGTGTGGTGGCTCACCCCTGTAACCCCAGCTGAGGCTGAGGCAAAAAGATTGCTTGAGGCCAGGAGTTCAAGACCAGCCTGGGCAACATGGCTAGACCTCACCTCTACAAAAAATTAAAAAATTAGCCTGGCACAGTGGCCCATGCCTATAATCCGAGCTACTCAGGAAGCTGAGGTGGGAGGATCGCTTGAGTCCAGGAATTCAAGGTTACTATGAGCTGCGGTCATGATCAGGCCACTGCACTCCAGCCTGGGTGACAGAGCAAGAAGTCCTATCTCTTTAAAAAAAAAAAACAAAAAAACACTTGATTCTTTATATGTTAGCTTTGAAACTTTCCTTTCTTCTCTCCCTAAAATTGATTTTGTTCTGCAAAGCAAATTGAATCCTACCCTTCCCCTCTAGAACCTTGCTATTATTTTTTTTTTTTTTTGAGACAGAGTCTCACTCTGTTGCCCTGGCTAGAGTGAGTGCCGTGGCGTCAGCCTAGATCACAGCAACCTCAAACTCCTGGGCTCAAGCGATCCTCCTGCCTCAGCCTCCCGAGTAGCTGGGACTACAGGCATGCGCCACCATGCCCGGCTAATTTTTTCTATATATTTTTAGTTGTCCAATTAATTTCTTTCTAATTTTAGTAGAGACGGGGTCTTGCTCTTGCTCAGGCTGGTCTCGAACTCCTAGCTCAAACAATCTGCCCGCCTCGGCCTCCCAGAGAGCTAGGATTACAGGCGTGAGCCACCGTGCCCGGCCCCTTGCTATTATTTTTTGATTGCTATTCCATAACTCATTGCCTCTATCTTTCAACCCTCTTCATCACTTTTATACAATTAATGGATGTATACCATGCTCTAGAAAAAAAATTGATACCAAAATAGACTTAAGAGCTAAATAAGAATCAATGGTGTTATGGCTTTACTGTAATTCCTGATCCCAAACTGGATCAAGACAAAAAGAAGAGAGACATACTTCAACCCTCCCTAGAATTTTAAGGAGGTTAGCACCTCCTTAAAACCAACAGAGTCACACTATACTTATCCCTATGCTTCTTTAGGCTATGTGCTTCTTCAGCAAGTTTTTCTTTTACACAAATGTTTCCCTAATTCTATGATGGACAGTTTTTCACATTTTAGTATCTTGGAAATTAGGATGCATCTTACAATCAATGTGTCCCAGTTTAATTGAGGATGATTTTATTTATTTTTATTAATCACAAATAATGTACTTCACCATTGATGACAACTTAATTCAATAAAATACAATATTTTGTCAATAACAATAAATTCTGGTTCTCAGAAGCATGGGATTATACTATTAGAAGGAGCCAAGGACTACATTTGCGGCTGGAAAATGGAATGCTATCATTTTTATTCAGTTGTTGCCTTCATAAAATAGGAACCCAAAGAGAACAATAACGTAGTTTAAAGTAAAGGTCTTGAAAAGAGGAATCTGATGGTTTGATAAGGGAAGTTCAAACTATAAGAAGTAGCACTTGTACTCCCTGGAAAAAAGGGATGACAAGGGTGTGGTAGCTCATGCCTGTAATCTTATCACACTGGGACGCCGAGGCAGGAGGATCGCTTGAGGTCAGGAGTTTGAGACCAGCCTGAACAAGAGTGAGTCCCCATCTCTACTAAAAATACAAAAAATTAGCCAGATGTGGTGGTGTGTATCTGTAGTCCCAGCTACTTGGGAGGCTGAGGCAGGAGGATCGCTTGAGCCTAGGAGTTTGAGATTGCAGTGAGCTATGATTGCACCACTGCTCTCTAGCCTGGGCGATGGAGCAAAACCATGACTCACAAACAAACAGGCCAAGGTGACTCACTCCTGTAATCCTAGCACTTTGGGAGGCTGAGGCAGTAGGCTCGCTTGAGCCCAGGCGTACAAGGCTGCAGTGAGCTATGATCACACCACTGCACTCTACCCCGGGCAGGAGTGAGACTCTGTCTCAAAACAAACAAACAAAAAATTTGTAATAAGGTTACATTCAGTTTTTTGTTGTATTAATAAATAAGGACTATTCAGATTAAGGCTTGCAAATGAGCCAAATCTTTCTTTTCTCTCTCTTACCATTTAGAAACAAAATATGAAAATTATAAAAATAAGCCAATCGATGTTAAAAATACAAAACAGAATATCAATAGCCAGTTGTGAAAGCAGGTTTTTTGTAAGTTCTAACACATAGTTATATTCTTTGTGATCTGGAAAAAAAATTTTTTTAAAGCCTAAATAAAGTCTTAATGCTTATCTTTATCATAAGAATTAGTCTGTCCATAGAAATCTGTTAATCACAAATAATTTCCCTTTGCAAAATCCTTGCTGCCTTTTTACCACGAGAATATGTTTTAGTAAGATAACATTTTCATGAGCTTGCCAGATAATTCCCAGTCTGGCAATCTACCTATCCTCTGGCTCAGAGATCATGCTTCAAATTCAAACTATTTTACCAAGTAGAATGGTTAGTGCTATTCTATTTTTATTTGTCTATTAGATCTAGGGAATCTTGTACATTTACTGTTATTTACTTCATTCCAAGGTTTAAGACTATATCCCCAACCCCATGAGGCAAATACATGCCAATGATCATACAAGAAATAGAAAATGGAGTGACTTAGTTCAAAATGCTCACTGCTATGGAAGGAAATAAAACATCTCAAAGTATATAGTATACTGTAGTGGATCACAGACATCAATTATTGTTGTGTATTTAAATATCTTTGAGGCCAGGCACGGTGGCTCACGCCTGTAATCCTAGCTCTCTGGGAGGCCGAGGCAGGCGGATTGTTTGAGCTCAGGAGTTCGA